CTAAACCTCAGAGTGTACATTTTGGCAGAGCCGACAAAACAACCACAAAACCTGTCAAGAGGACAGTGATGTCACACAATCTGCATAACACAAAGATAAACGTGAGTCCACACCCATATCCTAACCCACCTACACATACACATACACACACACAGTTTCATTGCAGACCCTGTGACTTAGTGACTTTGTAGACCTCTTAACTTAATTTTAAAAGCGACTAGTGACAAATCATGTGAGCTTCTCAGACTATCAGTGGAAAAGTGAGAAATATACACAAATCCAAGTGAAATGTCTCAACAATTACATGATGGATTGCCATGAAATTTGACATTCATGTCCCCTTCAGGATGAAATATAATACCTTTGGTGATCCTCTGCTTTTCCATCATCATCAGGTAAAAAATGTGCCCTGTACTTGGGTTTATGATAAAATGCCTGCAAAACAAATGACATTCCCACCAGCTTCAGTTGTGCTACAAATGTTAGCATGCTAACACACTCAACTAAGATGGCAAACATGGTAAACATTTAGCACTGCTATGCCCAAGTATAGCCTCACTGTGCCACTAGACTCTTAGTCTTGTTTATATTAAAAAGATGACATTTAGGGCCTAATTTCTGCATCATGATAGTTATGATGGAATTTAAAAAAAAAACTTTACAGCTTCACAGCATGCTGTGTAAATACTAAACAATCCTTGTTGCCACTTGGCTAAATAATTTAAAGTGCTGTTCTTGCCAGATATGCATGATGTCAATGACTTGCTGACTTGCTCAACTGGCATTGCTGCACAGTGCCACTAATGAAGTGCAGCACTGCAAGTAATTAATCTGTACCTGACATTAATTGCTTTATCGTGTCGTCTGCTCTTATCGCATCTCTTAGCATCATAACTGCCCCAAAGTCCTTGGAAAATTCCTCTCCCCTCTCCATAAGTTTTTTTACTACGTGAACTTACTTGACTTCTTTGGCATCATTCATAAGCAAAATGCAGCAATGACAGCTTCATTTAGATAAATCTATCCTTTTTCTTTGTGTTTTTTCCCCTAAAACTTTTCATGTCAAACGGATAGTGATGGCACATAAAACACCCATGACCAATGAGTCATCTTAGGGTATGAAATCTGTCATTCTGAGTCAAGTCAGATGCATGCAACAAGCCATTTATCAATATTAATTAGATGTGCTGCACCCAAAAGTGCTAAGGAATAAAGCAGTTTTCTTTTATTGCTTAGTCTGAAGATAGTGGAAAAGTGAGAAATCACTCTAAATGCTGTAGTGATAGGATGAATTTCAAACGGAAACCTTTCTAATATATATGTAGGTGCTGAATGCCATGGCCATTTTTAAAGAAAGGCATGAGTCCTGGTTTGTAGCAGACACTCTTTATTTCGAAGGCAACTTTCTATTTCTCCAAATGTTGCTTTGGGTTCACAATAGTGCACACAGTCTGTGTGTGTTACGCTCTGCATCAAACACCACTGAATAATGAGAGAGAATACAGCTGGTCTACTTTCAACTTAGCAAAAAACCCGAGATTCAACAGCTCTCTGGGGAGTAAGCCTATATTGATACAACAGAGTTTTGAAATTGAAAGTTCTGGAGGAGGATCCGAAGATGGGGCAAAACTTTAATACTCTGAAACTTCTTCGAGGAGTAAGGAATTTGAAATGGGGATTAGAATATCAGTGTCCTCGGTAAGGTTATACAGGTTTTTAAGTGTTTTACCTTCAGTTTGTGTGCTTTTTTAACTATGCTAGTGGAATGGTTCTAATGATGGCAATGTCAGTCTGTCGGTTGGTCCACCACTTCGGTCCACACTTAACAACAATCCAATAGAGGTTTAATCCTACTGACTTTGGTGATCCCCGAGGTTGACATTTTGGGATTTTAGTGAAACATCTCAACAACTGTTGGATAGATTGACATTTAATTTTTGTACAAACATTCATGCTGCCCAAAGGATAAATTCTATTTACCTTGGTGGTCCCCTCACTTTTCTTCTGGCGCCATCATCAGGTCAAAATTTCAATTTGTCCAATGTTTTGGTTTATGACCAAATATCTGCATAACTAAGGTTATTTCTATCATCCTCAGCTTTGTGTTTAGCAAATGTTAGCATGCAAACACTAAAATGATAAGGTGAACATGGTAAATAATTTAGCTCAAAGTACTGCTGCGCCTACAGCCTCATAAAGATGTTAGCATGGCTGTAGACTAGTCTTATGTAAAAGGCACTTTCATTTCTGCAGATGCATGGTAACTTGAGTAAAAAAAACTTGATTATTCGTATCACATTTTGTGCCCTGTCCTTGTTGTTTCAGATCAAGGGTGTATGACCCTCTCAGGCCTCAGACCCCTCTGTAAAGTAATTGGTGTTAAAGGTGGGTTGCACCTCTTCCAGCATATGGTCTGTAATAAGCAAGGCTGGACCTTTGCAGATGTCGAAACAGCACCAAAGTCACTGCTGGCACCATTTCCATTTTTACAATCCCACTGAAAAACTAATTTTTGTCTCCGTCCAGCCATGTATCGCTGGCCTGGTGCACAAGCCATTTTTCACTTCATGCAGCTTGTAAAGCAGCCATATGGAAGGAGGGACCTGGCTGCACCCACGCTGGCTCACCACTGTGGTCCTAATATTTCACAGTCTCAAGGTTATATGATATTTATTTTTCCTCTGGGCTGTTTTTAAAAAGTTGTATGAAACTTTTAACAATGTCTTATGTCAATACAAAATAAATACACAAATCCATTTTATTTTTTTTCTCTGTTTTCCCATAACAAATAGCAGTAATCACAGCATATCATTAATGTCACTCCTGTTTTGAATGAATTTGACAGACTGTCCATTGCTTCATTAGACTTTGACACTAATTAAAAAGTAATTTACTTGTGCTGAATGAGTGGCAACCTTTGGATTTCAAAATTATAGCAGTCATGAATGAATTAAGATTTAAACAAACGTAGCATGCATTTTCCTTTTTGATCATTTTGTCACTATAAAGCACAGAAACACAAACACAAAGGCCGGTTACACATAATTCATTTGACAATAGACTAATGAGGAGTATAAATTCCTGTACATTTGCATTGCAACAAATGAACGAATGTGCAAATCTGAAAAGCATCACACTACATCAAGCAGAGCAGCTGAGCACTCTCTCAGTGAGATATCACTTTAGTCTATATCAGGAGGGATCATCTCTGCAAACCTAAAACCCATTTCCTTCCCTTGCTGTTCTTGCATGCTATCTGTCTGGTTGACTTGTTTTTTATTTCCCTTTTGGTAAAGTCAGAGATACCAAAGCACACAATGAAAGGCAGCATCCTTTGCTCCTGCTATAGCGAGATAGCAGTATGAACTTTTGCAAATTGGATCAGGCAGAGAATAGTTTTTCCCCAAAACTTGATGATTTGTTTGCATTCGAAAAGAAACCTGAAAATGGTGAATATGCTAAAGAGAACCTACATCAAACTGTGCTGTTAAGTGAGCAGGATTATAAGGAAGCTAATACATTCTCCACCATGCCATTCTTTTCCAGCCCTGCAGGGCAACATCCCAAAAAAAGTTATCATCCAACACACAAAGACTACTGTGTGACAAAAAGCACCACGAGCGATACTAATCACATCACACATTTACATGGGGAAGAGGGCCTTCCTGAGCTTTAATTCACATGCTGAAGTCATATCTACAACACCAGAGGCACACTTCACAAGATTTTGGGGGAAAGACTTTAAATCCCCCTGAAATGGAGAAGTACTGAATGAAGCGATGTCAGGCATTGCCATGTTGTGGACTGCAACTTAAGAAAACAAATGCCAAAAGACAAAATACAAGCAAATGACGAAAGCATCTAAATGAATTTGACAGCACATGCTGCAGCATTTAGAAAACAAAAGAGTGAGAAAACACAACCGAATGCAGAACAACTTATTTAGTTTAAACATCTTTAGTGCATGATGTAGATTTGAATTGTTAAGCTAGTAATCAGGAAAAGACTAACACTAGATTAACAGCAAATATCTGAGTATCTCATGCAATCAGATAAATGTAAAAAGGAAGAAAAACAGTTTGCTCATTTTCCAACACAACTGACAGATAATGGAATTCAGAAACTTCATTAGCCACAAACCATGGCAACATATATGTCCCAGCTGTGTCCGGGCGTGTTCACTTCTTCGTATCCCCATGAAACATTTGTGGTTTTCCATTATGTTCTGTACAACTTGGATTTTGTTTCTGTATTTAGTTGGGTTTTATCACTTTGTAGTGTTTTTTTACCCATCTATAAATGCTGCACATGTGCTGTCAAATTGATGTTTTCTCCATTTGCTTGTCGATTTGCGTGTGTTTTATTAAGTGCCTTGAGATTTCAGGGCCACACACCTCACACCTGTCAGAATGAATCCACAGGTTGGGTTAGCCCTGTAGGGATTACTTTACTTCTTACTTGAAATCTTTAAAGACCAGACTTTTAAAGAAGTGGCCAGGGCATGCAGTTTCGTTCAGCTGCATAGACTGATAATTTGGAGGCAAGCAGAAGTCTTGAGGGATTGAATTAGTCAGTGAAGTGGGTCCTGCTGGGGAAGAGACTGGCCAAAACACATTTTAGGCTATGAGATTTAAAATCTGCAGATGCAGTCTACCTCTGAAACTTGCAAAACAGCTTCACTCGCTATGTTTTTCCCCTGCGTGTTGACATCACCGGACCACTACGGCCCCGCCTCCGTACTCCGCTGATGATGATCCTCCCCTTACATCAGCACCATTTCTGGTATCCTCACCAAGTATCGAGAGAGAATGAGAGGGGGGGGGGTTGAGAGAGTGAGAGAGAGAGAGAGACTAACCAACCCCAGCAGATCATAGAGGCGTCAGACGGCCGCCAGAGCATCCCGGTTACGCACTGTTCAGAGGCCTCATCGACGGTTCGCAGCGCTAGAAACAGCTGGAGCAGACGTCAACATAGCCAGGCACACGGCTACAGCTACGGCTACAGCTACAGTCAGTAATGGAGAGCCTGCTGGATAATCCAATGAAAGCCGTTCTTTACCTGAAGGAGCTCACCACTATCGTCCAGAACCAACAAAGCCTGATCCAGACGCAGCGCCAACGCATCGACGAACTCGAGCGAAAGGTGGAAGACCTGATAGGAGAGAACCGGCAGTTGCGGGACCCCCATCACTACGTCCAGCAGCCCGCTCAGCATCACCACCACCACCATCACCCGACTCACCGCAGCGCCAGTCCCCAGGCGCCGGCTCACCTCCATCAGCACCCGGGGAGCAACAAAGCTGCCGTTCACCTGGGCCAGCAGGCACAGCAGCAGCAGCAGCCGCCGCCGCCGCAGCAGCAGCAGCATCAGCAGCAGATTCCCGCTCTATCAGCCCAGCCTCAGCATCATCCGACCCCTCCTGCGCCGTCCTCCCACCACCCGCAGCAGCTGCAGCTCGTCCCCACCTCGCCGCAGTCACCCAAAGCGAGCCAAGCCAGCCCGGACCCCGCCGAGGAGAACAAGAGGAGCCCCTGCTGCAAGACCCTGGTTCCGCAGACTCCCACCGCTCTCTGCCGCTCAGTTGGATTGGCCAGGAAAGCGGAGTAAGTAGCTTTTGTGCTGTGTGCGCTGTAAAAAAAAAAAATCTCCATCTTAATTAGAGATTTACAGTAAATTATGACGACCATTCGAATTTGCATTTTCAGATAAAACAAACAAAAAACCTTCCTATAATCAGCGCTTGATGAAAATCAGCTACTAGATTTTTTAAATCTCCATAACCATGTGGTCATTTGCCTTTTTTCTACATGACCTTTTACTGAAAGCTTAGAAACTACACAAGTGACATTTTTCACCCCACTGTTTGGGCTTCTGCTCCTGCCTCATAAAACACACATGGAAGACTTAATATTACATTCAGTGACCCTAATAAGATGGATATTTTTGCAGTGTACTCTGGCAAATTTCCTTGTCTAAATATAGCATATGTGTCTGGCAGAAAACAATGTGACATCCTCAAGGGCCACCAGATTTAATGCCATAGCCCAAGTAAGGGTCCCAGCTGAAATTTGGGAACATTTTCGAGGGAAACTATTAAAGAAACAGAAAAATATGCAATCCAGTAAAAATTATGTACAATCAGATGATAGACACTGTATGAGTCCTGTGCTGGATTGTACGTAATTTACATTTGATTAACTTCCCTTGACAAGCTGCGGCTTAATACCCTGACAGGTAATTCAAGCTCCTCCTGAATTTTCACATTATTCACTCGGTTGTTGCCCTGTTAAATCTATTGCATGCTTAATGGATATTGATTTTGAGGACCCACACTGGCATTTTAACAGTGGTGGTTTGACTGTCACTACTGGGTGGGACTAAACACTGGAGATAAAGTATTTTTGGGTGACTTGTAACGGAACAGAAGTTTGGCAAAATGACACCCTCAACATTTTGCTCAACTTTGTCCCTGTAGATTTGCTGTCCCTTTCCCTGTGAAGTTGCAGTGCTCTGTTTTCCTGTGCGTCCACACTTTGAATGTGGAATGAGCTGAGTATTCTTTATAATGCATCTGTTTTTAGGCTCAGCTGAGGTAGCGATTTCACAGGTGCCCTGAGAGCGTGGTGACATTGTAGACACACATTTTAAAAGCAAATAAAATGCCTTCTCCTGAAGGCATATCACTGACTTTGCGACAGCATTTTCACATTGTCAAATAAAAAAACAAACAGCTACTGTATGATCACGTTTGATTGTACAGACTTTTAACAGCTCGTTCCTCATAGACTGGGAAGAGCATATCTGGAGGAAATAAAAGCAAAGACAGAAAGACTTAACAGTTGCCTATAAACCACAGCCTTTCAGCCTCAGCCCAGAGTTACTAAGCCTTGATACGTTTGAATCTATACTTCAAGTTTCTGGTGTCATACAGAGTTGATGTCATGAAAATTCAGTTATTCAGTCTGTTTAGTCCCATTTTGCAGAAAACAAAAGACCTGAAATGAATAGGTGAATAATCAGTTTGTCAAATGACTCATGAATCAGCAACTATTTTCATAATCAATTACTCGTGAAGCCATTTCCCAGCCCCATTACTTGATAAATAGTTTCAGCCTTAAAGGAATTTCCGGAAAGTTGTAAAGAGTATAAAGTGGTATATAGAATAAGAATTTATCCTGCATCTATCTATCAGGACCTACTGACACTTATATATTTATACTGATGTAAAGTAGAATCTAGGTGGTACATCGGATCACAATACACATATTCCTATCAAGTGAAGATAACGTTTGAAGTTGTATAAAATGTCCTCAGTTACTCTCTGTATTGAATTTTATTAGTATTAGTTAAAATTTTGCAGTGGTGACGTCTGATGGGAAAGACATTCAAATTATTTGTGTTGAAGCCATTTGTGTGTAGCTTTGGCTTTATGGTTGGTGTGATTCTCTTACTGGAAAAACAATCTTCCCCCAAAGTCGCAGGTTTCCTGCTGCACACTGCATCAGGTTTTCTCCATGATCTCCTTGAATTACAGATGCAGAGAGGCATCTACACTGCGTTTGTGATTAGCGCTGAAAACCCCACATTAAATCCCCTTAGGTTCAGTGCTGGAAAACAATAAAACATGCAATCTTTTACTTTTTATTTGCACTGTATGGGCTTCATAACTGTCCATTGTGCTGACTGCTATTTGCTTGCTACGATCAAGGTCACATGAATTGTCTTTGCCAGAGACACATCCACGCACACAGTGACACACACAACCCCATCTGTTCCACTCAGCTGCATTTGCATTGTTTGCTGTTAATCCAGATTGATTTATCATGCCATTAAGACATAATTCCTAAAGAGCGCGGGTCAGGAATAGTATACATTAGCATGGGTACCAGAAAAAACACAACTGCTTTGACATGGATTCACCCAGGCATGGACAAACCCACATGATAAGAGTTTTACTAAATAAATGTCAGGGGGATTCGATAAGTGGGTTCATTCGTGATTTACCAACCATGCGACCTGACAGTTTTGTAGAATGAATGAACAATACAAGAGAGCGGCAGAGAGCTCGAGAGACAGCATACTGTACATTTTCTTATCCTTTATGTAAAAGCAGTGATACATGAAAGGTAGCAGGCGTGAAACAGCATTATTTTTCCACTTATTGCATTGATCCTGCTCAGACAAGATGGTATATGGCTGTTCTGTCAGTGCTGCAGGAGAAGTAATACATTTCTGTTAACAGGTGGATGACAGGGACATGTCACAAACTTTCTAAAGAGGGTGCACATTATTCCTAAAGCCCCATGATACCTTGTGTGAATTATGAACGCGACTTCTGGTTACTGAACTGTCGTGTGCGAGAGTTAGCGGTATGGTGCAGGTGTCTTTCCTTGTTCTTGTCCTTTTCCTCTCACACCTTAAAGGAAAAGTTTGACATTTTGGGAATGAAGTAGTTTCGTGTTGTATCGATCTTCTCATCTGTGTTAGCCTACAGTAAATATGAAGCTACTGCTAGCAGCCGTGTAATTTAACCTAATCTGTACAAACCCCCCACAAATACCCTGTAAAACAGCAATTTGACTTGTTTATTCTTAGCTTTTTGTACAGATTCAGGCTAGCTGTTTCTCCTAGTTTCCATTCTTTGTGTTATGCTAGTTAACCTGGCTACTAGCGGTATCTTTAAATATAGCATACCAACATGAGAGTAGTAGGCCTTAGTGTTGTAGTATTTGAGACCAGTCTTGGTCTCGAGACCGGTCTTAAGACCACTTTTTGATGGTCTTGGTCTCGTCACGACAGCATTTGTTCTCGGTCTTGTCTCTGTCTCGGACATTGAGGACTCAGGATTTTATTTCAAGACCAGTCAAGACCATAACTTTGGGAATATGAATAAATTGCTTTTGCATTGTCTGATGTATTAACTTTTCTTGGATGCAAAATTATTGCTTCAAATTATTTCAAATAAATAACCAATAACCCTAATTAAAAATGTGTTGTTACTGTTAACGTCTGTCACCCTACCCGCGATGGTAGGCATGGAAAAGGAGTGTTGAATAAAGATGCTTACGTTGATTTCAGCCCTTAGTGTTTGTACGTGGGTGTTTTAATGGGAATGTGGATCTTTCAGATGAATTTGAGAAGTACCTATGATCTCATTCCACATGTTATTGTGTGTCATGTGATGTGGGGAACTGGTCCCTCCCTCCCTCGGTCTTGGTCTTGACTTGGTCTCAGCCCCTAAAAGTCTTGGTCTTGACTTGGTCTCGGTTTGGGTGGTCTTGACTACAACACTAGTAGGCGTATTCTATCTTTTTATCAACTTTCAACTCTCAGCAAGAAACCGTATTTCCCAAAATGTTGAACTTTATGCAGGATAATGTGATCATACCTTTGCCCTTCACTTCAGAGGAAATACAAATAGCTTAACAAACTATGTTACTATATTAGCATAGCATTAGCTAGGTAAGATAGATAAGGTTCTATCCCACCTCCTTTGCTTTACTGTTGGTAGAAATGGAATCAATAAAGTAGCTAAATATGCTACTGTACGTTAGCCACAGGAAATGCTCCAGGTTGTCCTCCCATCCCTTGATAATGGAAGGCAGAGCTATGGTCACCTGTTGCATAATTCATGCAAGGTATCATGGGCCTAGCAATATTAACATGGATACATTCTCTTGTCGAATTAGGGAACTACAGGATTCTTGCACCATTTTAAAAGTGGAATTTAATACTTTTTAAGACCTTTTAAGACCTCAAATCTTGAAACAATTTGCCATATTTGGCATTTTTATTTTCACCAGAGGTGAATGTCTTTGCATATTCCGAATCGTGGAACATAGAGGCTGTTTACAACTGGCATTAAATTATTAATGCCAAAAATTAATTGATCGGGTAGCACATGACCACATGAAAGTACATGTGTAAATGCACCCGAGACGCAGTGAGGACAGATGTGATCCAATCAGCAAAATGACATCTGGAGGTGGTCAGGGACACCATGACCGCATGGATGCAAATGCGTTGTCTATCCACATACAACTGCTTGGGTGGAAATATGTACCAGTCGCAGTCTTCTGCAAATAAAATAGTCTGACAGTGCATACAGGCGCCTAAACAGTGTGTCAGTGTTGTGCATGAACGTACTCAAACAGTGTTGATGCTCATGTTTTTGGTGAACTGATAGTGTCTGTGAACGTGAACTAGGTCCTGGGCAATAAAACAATAATGATAATTGTTGCGATACAATCTTCCTTAATAACAATATAACAAATGTTCAATGTTGAATCACAAACGAATTAGCACTTTCTTTTCTATTAAGATATTTATTGTGTTGAGGACAAGGGACTGAAAAAAGATTTTACTTTATTTTTCTTGTGCATATTTGTTGTTTTGATTGTTCTACCTTTGATACCAGGCTGCTTTTTGGCATCAAGTATTTGTCATGTTCTGACCATAAAAAAAAGTTTAAAAGCACAATTAACCATCTGGCTTCTTTAACTTGCACTCAGGAGAAAAAATCACCCTCTAAAGTTATAATAAAAACAAAAAGATTAAATAATTATTTTACTATTTTTGTCCATATCGCCCAGCCCTAACTCAT